CTACCTAAGAATTGATGGGAATACACGCAGGAAAAGAAACGTGTCTCGGTGTAAATAAACTATAATAAAAACATCCGTTTATTCGCCTGCTGATTTCGTGTTAGAGAATCCGTGGAAACGCTGGCTGTGAACTCTTGAAGATTATCCATTCATACTCTCTATCATCGAGCACAACTCAGTATGCATAGTTCATGACATCATTTTCGGGCGCACCCAGCTACGGAGATAAATTAATCTATACCCAATATAAGGACATTTAAGTGCACCTGATATTAGTTGGACAGAGAAGACAACCGGAGGGTCTGTAAACGCTTTCGATGATAGGCTCCTGATGAGGGTAGCGACCCATGATTTAGCGCAGCATGCATCTGGACTAACTCTTTTGGGCTCAAACAAGGGATTTGTCGTCAGACTTAGTAATCACGCACGAGACCGAAAATATTCCTCATATAAATATTCTCCCGCCGTTAGCAATTAGTGATCATGATGCTTTGTTGTTTGTGTTTAGGGCTTGTGACACAATAATCAATCAGGCTAGATCTTTCTCGTATGTGTGGAGAGAATGGTCGGAAAATACTAGCTCATCAACCGAAGGAGCATGGTCCATATTTAGGATGCCACAGGTATTCGGAATATCACACATTTACACATTAAACCTTTATAACCGAAGGATACCGACATAGTAAAATTAGAATTCAGGAATGAAGGAGTTCTGAAATATACCTGGAAAGCTATCGATATATCGAAATGCGTTGGATGTAAGCTGGCTAGCAGTTGTAAAAGATGTGTACTTGGCGTACCAACTTGTGACCTATTGTGAATGAATGATCAAGCACGTTCAGCTAGGGTGTGTCGAGTGGAACTAAGAAGGTCAGTATCAATGTTGGAAACTTGCAGAACTACTTATTTTTTGGGATATATTTATCGCTACAATATTTACAGATACACTTAAACGCGCCGAGTAGTGTAATAACGAAACTGTCAGAACATATAATATCAGCACCTCCTGTTAATAAATTCCATGAGAGACTGGATCTTCACAGTGCCACAAATTTCAAAGAGTAAGTCAGGTCGACTGACCTCCTATTCTTTTCTGCTGAAGGCTGAAGACTCAGTATAATATTTCACGATAGTTTACCAATGTTTTCGTTTCCCTCGTAAAATATAACCAGGCTCCTGCTTGGATGCATTGATGATTCACCGTTACTAAATACGAATGATGTTAAGCAAAAAGTATCTCTACTCCGTCCTCGACTGTTCTCAGTGAAGCTTAAAAATGTAGAGATTTAGTACTTGTTGCAATTACCTTTGCTTTTGTGTACTTGTTGCACCAAAAAACATTCTTGGTGCACTTTGGCTTGAATTATTTCTGTCACGGTTTGAAACTTTGCTTAAGTTTGTCTTGTGATACTTTCCTGTGCATTGATCCTGACACTTGTGTTCTGTTGTGATCATAGTGTGATTTAAACCTTTTTAATTTGATTACAATGGCTGCCAGTACTTATCGATGTGGACAGCCAAGTTATTTATTCCCCGTTGAGGCGGAAATGCAATGTGGTGGGTGTAAAATATGGTTCCATAAGATATGTACCCGTTTAAGTCTCACTGCATACAATAGATGATTGAAGCCTAACTTTGCTTGCTTTATATGTTTTGCTGTACGAATACGACGTCACTGGTCCAGGAGAATATGAAAAAAAGCCATAAGCGGCACCAACTAGGTTGGTGATTCATCATTGAAATCCCATACTGAGTCACAAAATGTACCTCCAAAGCTCAATAGTAAGACGGAACTCTGTCTCCGACGTGTCTAAGAATATTATCGTAAGTAATTTGCAGAATCAAAAGACCCCGGCCCCAAAGTTAGACACGCGCATGATTTGAAAAGCTCGAAGAATTTGTTAACAGCACCTTACCAGAAAACTCTAAAGGAGTTCAGGTCAAAACATTGGTAAAAATAAGTAAGAGGACCGACGACTGTATTGAATAGGTCGAATAGGTCGTTTTCCCTAGGAGTTTTATATTCAAATGCTCGTAGTTTAATAAATAAACTATATGAACTATGAGCATTAGTGGTCAAATCAAGGCCACTCATTGTAGCTTTGACGAAAACTAGGTTAGTCTAAGACTATGACATTACTCCAGAATTATCCGGAGACCACTACTTAAGAAGTGACAGATATAGATGTAGGAAAGGAGTTGGCGTCCTTTCATGCATAGCAAACAGTCTAAACATCAACTTCTTTGCTAGCGAATCCCATGACAGTGGGACTTGCGAATTCATTAGCTGTGAGCTGACAATCGGATGTTGTACATTTGTATTCGACGTCATCTATCTTAGCCCAACCTGCTTAGCTGATGACGTTATTTTAGAACACATTCAACTATGGAGTACAAATAACAGATGCTTTATATTAGATTTTAGTGCACCTGACATTAGTTGGACTGATATGACCATGGTAGGACATATAAACTCATCTGACAGTAGATTCCTGATAACGATAATGGAGCATGAATTAGTACATCATGTATCCGAACCCATGTATTTTGGTTCAAACCAAGGTTCTTCCTTTCTAGACTATTTAATCACTTATGAGACTGAAGATATTGTCATTCTAAATGTTCTTCCACCGTTAGCGAATAGAGATCACGTTATTTAGTCATTCACGTTTAGGGCTTGTGAAATAATATACGATCAGGTTAAGCTTCACCTAAATGTATGGAGAGCCAACGTGTCAACCACTAAGGAGTGTGCTGCAAAAACAGGCTGGTCAGTAGACACGAGCTCACCAGTTGAAAAGATATAGTCAATAATAAAGGTCACCTTAATTTAGTTACGTACCCGATTATACCATGCTTTGTGTCTAGTAGACTCAATAACTGTCCACTGTGGATAACTAAACAAATCGAGAAACTTCTTAGACTTAGGAAAAAGCATTGGAATATGTTTATATCAACTGACCTAGAACACTACAGACCCAGTTATTATAATACCAGGAATGCTTGTAAAGCGTTAAAAGTAAGACTAGAGGATTGTATGAAAAACGATTGGATAGGAATTGCAAAAACAGTCTGAAACGGTTATTCTCAGAGAAGTGATGAGATTTCATTACATTTTATACAAGAAAACCAGTTAACATTGGCAAGAAAGGATGCCGAAAAAGCTTAAGCTTTATCGAAATATTTCAGTAAGGCGTTTTTCACTTCCAATGAGGAATGAACAACGATCGATCGCGACCAGGGAGGCTTTTCGATGGAGCCCGTAATTATTGAGGAAGAAAATGTCTTGACATTACTTCACCATCTCAAACCAGATAAGTCCGGTGATGCCGATGATATTCATCTTAAGATTATGAAGGCCCTGTCGGATGTAATTGCTGAACCCATGGTCTTACTGTTTGATGTGTCTCTGAGGCAGTCCAGACTGTCAAAAGACTGGAAAGACGCGATAATTAGTCCGGTGTACAAGACAGGAAGCAGTGACTTAGTAACTATCAGCCCGTTGCCATAACCAGTAAAGTTGTCAAACTAATGGAGAAAATTGTTCAGATGGCGACCACAAACTATGTGAAAGGGTATAATCTTTTATGCTGTATTATGTCCCAATAAGAATAATGAGTGGTGACGTTTGGGGTCCACTTATGGACCAAAACTATGCGTATATTTTTATCGTATAATTCTTATGTAACTAATCTGTTCATATTCATGTCCCTCTTATTATGAGCTTTATTTTGACCTATGAACTACTACTATACGATCTACCATTCTTGAATTATACCCTGCCTATTAATTACCACCTCCATCATTCACAGCCACATTTGGTTAAGTTTTGTACAAATGTTGTTTCATATTATATGGTGTGATGTGGTCTGTCTGGTTGGTGTATAAACCCGATAATGTTTGAAATAAAGAGGCTGAGATTGGTGTTCTGGACTTAACTGGCTGGGCTAGGAAAAAAGCAGGACTGATAAGAACACTAGACTGCTCGTACTTGTTTAATGCGTCATTGGTCCGATCGATAATCTACTGCTCTGCAATTGGCAGTATCGTTACGTTATGCAATAACAGGGCACACAGGTCACAAGTTATAACATCCTGGGAGCAATATGATTCTCGGAAAGGCTTGTCATGCGTCACAAATTTTCTCATTGTAAGAGAACATTGGGCTGCAGAAAAAGATTGAAATATTCCCGTAGATGTAATTTTCATAGATCTAAGTAAAGCCTATGATAATGTCTCTTATCCGGATTTTAAATTAAAACTTGAAAATTTTGGAATCCATTATAAGGTCGTAAATTGGATAAGTGACCTCAGTGATAGGAGACAGAGGGCAAGGGGCTCCCTCAGAGTGGGAACCTGTAAAAAGCGAACTTCCTCAAGGCATGACCCTTGCTCCTCTTCTCTTTTACTTTATGTAAATGAATTACCAACTGTAGAAAAGTCATCCGTTCTACTCTTTGCCGATGACACCAAGATTTGGAGACCGGATTTTGAGAGACCGCATTTAAAATATGGGATTCAAGCAGACAGTCCTAGTTTCAAATATTGGGCGGATATGCTGGAACGAGTTCAACGACGAGGGACTAAAATGGTAAAAGGTCTCTCTGACCCATCTTATGAAGACAGACCGAGACACTTTAACCTATTTCCGTCATCTTACCACGGATTACGGGGTGACTTAATATTGACTTATCGTATACTGAATGATGACCTCGGTATTAACATGCCTCATCATGTCCTCCCGTCTAGGACTGATAATTTGAGAAGATATTTTAAGACAGCTCAAAAATTGAAATCAAATATTCTTCGTCTTGAGTTTCGTTTCGCGCACCGAATAATTAAATACTGGAGTTCTCTACCAGAACACGCAATATCAGCACCTTCTGTTGGTATGCTCAAGACGAGATTAAACCTCTGTAGTGTTAAAAACTGCAAGGAATAATATAGGTTGATAGACCTTCTATCCTTATTACCGAAGATTGAAGACACAACCACTTGCATGGAAGCTCGAAGTTTGACGCGATCCAAGGTCAAGGTCATATCAGCATGGCTAGAAATGGAGAACGTGTTTCTGTGAATGAAGACGATGATGAAGATATTTATGATCCAAAAAGCAGGGGATTCTGTCGTGCATGTGTCGACTTGTCAAAGTTTGGTCTTACAAAGACAAAGGAGATGGTATCCAAACCGAGTGTAGGTATGTCCTATTCCAAAACGTCCTTATATCTTGTATTGTTCACTGTGCTTTAAAATCTAACCGCTAGCTCAGGAAATTCTGTGCTGAATTGATATGTGTGTATAGTTAGTATTAATATTCAGTACTCTGATTTTCACTTGCTTGTACAAGTAAATATACGACAATAATGAGTATTATATAGAATATCCTAGAGCATATATGATTTAGGAGGATGCAGTCGGTAGCAAAATTCTCGATAGTCAATCTCCTGTGGCTTATGTACTGTTTCATGGTTCGGGTTAGTTTTTTGTCCCAGATTTTTTTTCAAACCTTTGGACTTTATGAACGTTATATGTCGTTTGAGTTACTCTTGAAACAAGGAGTTTAGAACTAAGCTTTATGGACGAATCTAGGCAACATTTTAACTAATCAGAATGTGGGCAACAGAGGTGCTATTTTCTACAAAATATCTAGAGACTCGAAGTGTATATATATTGTTTACAGGGTTTAGAAACTTATTCAGGTTCGAGATAGGCTAGAATGCGAAAGAGTCCTTTTTATTTGTGTTTATCGGATTGGACTAGTGCTCCCATTATTATTACCACTACTGTTATTATTCCTATCCACTTGTTATTTTTTATTATTCTCATCTTCCTCTCCGTATCTTCATTTTTGCGTGACACATATATTTTATCCCCCCCCCGCTTTGTACCAGTTTAAATAAGTGAATGTAAATAAGGGTGCGATGTAAATGCTGATTCGTGCCTGCAGTTTACCTTCAAAACCTCCGTACAGTAGAACTTTCTTGACGTTCGTATTAAAGATTCTTACATTGATATTGGTTAATAGTTGTTTTGAGTTCCATATGTTCTTCAAGTGTAGAAATGCTATCCTTACTTTGCCAATCCTTGCTTTTCCGTTTGAATCGGATCCTCCCTGTTCATGGACGATGCTGTCCAGGTACGTGAAAGTTTCGACCTCCTCCGGAGTCTTCCCACCAAGTGTGGTTAGGTTGTTCTCGTGTTGTATTTGAGGACCTTGCTTTGTCCTTTGTGTATGTCAAAACCTACTGATGTAAAGGCTGTTGCTACACTGTTTGTCTTGACCTGCATTTGTTGATAATGTTTACCCTAAAAGCAGCACACCTCGTCTTGTTCTACCGATAATAAGGCGTACACATATGAAACTATCCACAATGAAGTCATGTGTGACCGGCTTAAAGGAATAGTTATCTCTTGGCCCCTGTGTTTACGATTCCGGCTCGTCAAGACCATTTATAATCCATCTACGTTTGTGCGTATCTCAAGAATAAGTGTCGTTTTACGGTAAAGACAACTGAAAATCTAAATTTCCTCCACATAATTCTAAAAGTATTTGAGATCATCTGACGACTTGTATACTCTCAAAGAGCTCGAAAGTTGGGTCAAATTTATGTTCTGATCACTCATTGTTCACTGGACCTCTAGATAACAGTTAGCTCATTTAGATAAAACATAAATTCTGTACTCATACTATTATTTCATTCTTGATATTAACTGGTGGTTGAAGACGTAAGGTGACATATCTCTGGATCGTTCACAATGACGCGAATGCATTCACTTTTTACCTTCCTTCCAATTTTCATTTATACATCTTTTTATTCTGTTATTTCAAATCATATGCTCAGCATTCTGATGGTTATCGTCATTACTTTATTACTCCTTTCCCTTATTATTCATCTTATTAACTTCATCTCATCTTACAATTGTTGTGGAGAGTTGGGGTGACTCATATTTTGTCCGAAACCCTACGTTAATCATGATTGATTTATATTCATATCTGACATATGAAAATAAATAGACCAAGTCCTACCCATCCACTTACTTGAATAACTTACGCCTGTTACTCCTAATGGAGCATAGGCCGTCGTCCAGCATTCTCCAACCCACTCTGTCCTGGGCCTTCCTTTCTAGTTCCATCCAATTCTTGTTCATTTTTCTCATGTCTAGCTTCATTTCTTGGCGTGATGTGTTCTTTGGTCTTACTCCTCTTTGGCGTTCAGGATTCCATGTGAGGGCTTGCCTTTTGACGCAGTTGGGGGTTTTCCTCAATGTTTGTCTTATCCACTTGTAGCACTTCTTCTTGATTTCTCCCTCTTCTGGGATCTACACATCCACAGACGCGCATTACATTAAACTACTGCGCCTTAAGATGCTTTGTTGTGGCTTGAGATCAGTGATGGTTATCAAATATTATATTGCTCATTCAGGATTCCGATCATTGACTGGTTCATCTATATGACCAATAGGACTGATGACCTATTATTTCACGAATTTACACACCGACTGATTAATCACTATCAAGGTATTAACGCTTATCGGTCTTAGATTCCCTTGTTATCAAACATCCAATCAGGAGACACAAAGAGAAAGAAGATTAATTTTCGTTATAACCACGTACACATCAACCATGCTCAATGTAATTTGATTGTTTTTTTTGCTTCTATTCAGAGTGTCCACCGGATAAAATTGAACTTGGAAAGGCAACATGGACTTTGTTGCATACAATGGCAGCATATTACCCTATACACCCGACACTGAAACAACAAGAAGATATGAAGAAGTTTTTACAAATTTTTCCTCAGTTCTTTCCATGTCGACCATGTGCTTATGATTTTGAGTCGAGTAAGTATAATATAATTTTTTAAGTAATATTTTTGTTTAACTGATAAACAGTTAGTCAAAAGAATATGCTATTCTAAATAAAGTAGGAATTATTTTATTGTGGCGTTTCCACAAAATTATTCATCCGTTTCAAGTTACCACATATACTGTATCAGCACAGTAGTGAGATGAAGTTATCAAGACAAATACCTGAGTATTTTCTATAAAGTTCTACTCTGTTACCTTAAATCTAATAGCGATTTCAGTGACTTTGTGGTTTGAACCACTTGAAGTTCAACCACCAAACGAAAACCTCCAACTCCACTTCAACTGGACACAAAATGTAACTTTAGAATGAGTGCACAAACACATCCATTGTTACTAAGGTACATAAAAGTGATTTACACATAACAATATATCCAGATTTTGGATTATATTTCTTCAAAATACTCCTTACGTATTGTAAAACGATCGAGTGTGTAACGTTCAGGTTAAAAGAAAGGTTGAGGGGTTGTCAATCCAAAAACACACCATCAACCCATGAAGTTATTAATTGTCGGTTTGAGTCATGCTGGCAGACGCAGTCTGTCTAGTTTGAGTCCACGTGATTTTAGTGGTTGGCGACTTCCGATGTAAGTCGTTCATAGTAGCGTAAAGACACTTTATATTCCTTAAAACCTTGAGTTCGAATACTCTTTCATACATACCTTTTAATTTTGTCCTTTCAAATGATATCCTCAGTTTTGTCATATAAACGGAATTCATGTTTCGTTCTATTCGGATTTTGTCGGCCGGGTGAACACCTGCCTCCCGGAGTTGTCCACTCTCAGACTCGGACACAATACCATTTGCTTCAAACGTCAACGCATTATCCACCTAGCCACTGATTCCAAATAGCCACTCACTTGTGCAACGAGTAAATCGACACGTGCATCGTGGATTCCACCGTTAGCTATAATGAATCTATTTTGCGTGAAGACTATGTCTAACCAGTTCTCACGGGATTCACATATCTCAACCAAGACTGATCAAATTTCACTTACTATCAACAATTTTGATAATCCAAACCACTAAAATATATTTCCAATTTTCATTCTTTCTCGTTGTCATTTTATTTATTTATTTATTTATTTGAACACAAATATTGGTACAAAGGGGCACCGAATACATATGCACCACACAAGTCACTTGATTTGTGTGTGGGCCGTGATAGTGTCAGAGTGCGCAGACCGAAACAGGTGGTTTCCTTAGGGAGCCATACCCGGAGCCTTTGACCTAAAGGTCTAATCCACAAGGCAGTGAAGCAATATCAGGAGATGCAGTTTCATAATAGCCGGTGACCAATAACTGGTTCATACGCTATTTGTCCCTTCAGAATCCTGGGACCCATGTGCTATTATTGGCTTGTAATCAGGGCTTTCCAACCCCCCATAGGCCCATCAATAATTGAAGAGATCAGAATGGCCATCAGACAAATCAAGAGCGGCAAAGCAATAGAACTAAACAACATTCCAGCAGAACCACTGAAAGTAGACGTAGCAGTAACTGCAAGGATACTCCACATTCTTTTCAGCAAGATTTGGGATGAAGAACAAGCACCAGCAGACTGGAAAGAAGGACACCTGATCAAGATACCAAAGAAAGGCGATCTCAACAAGTGTGAGAACTACAAAGGCATCACTCTTTTCTAGATACCAAGAAAAGTTTTCAACAGGGTATTGTTAAACAGAATGAAGGACTCCATAGACGCCCATCTTCGAGACCAACAGGCTGGATTCCGTAAGGATCGATCGCGTACAGACCAAATCGCAACACTATGGATCATTGTGGCACAGTCATTTGAATGGAATTCACCACTCTACATCAACTTCATTGACTACGAGAAAACATTTGATAGCGTGGACAGGACAATACTATGGTAGCTTCTTTGATACTACGGCGTGCCTGAGAAGGTAGTCAATATCATACGGAATTTTTATGATGGATTAAACCGCGAAATCGTGCATGAAGGACAATTGACAGGCTCGTTCGAAGTAAAGACCGGTGTCAGGCAAGGTTGCTTACTCTCACCCTTTCTCTTTCTCCTGGTGGTCGACTAGATCATGAAGACGTTAACATCTGGGGGGAGCATCGGATACGTGGACAGCTAGGACACAGCTGGACGATCTAGACTTCGCAGATGATCTGACTCTTCTATCGCACACGCAACAACAAATGCAGGAGAAGACGACCGGTGTAGCAGCAGTAGGTCTCAACAGACACAAGGAGAAAATCAAGATTCTCCGATACAACATAGCTTGCACCGATCCAATCACAATTGACGGGGAAGATTTGGAAGATGTAAAAACCTTTACATATCTGGGCAGCATCATTGATGAACACGGTGGATCTGATGTAGATGTGAAGGCGAGGATCGGCAAAGCGAGAGCAGCATATCTACAACTGAAGAACATCTGAAACTCAAAAAAACTATCAACCAATACCAAAGTCACAATTTTCAATACAAATGTCAAGATAAGGCAATCCCTCACTTCAAATCCTCAAAGCCAAAGAAGAGCAAGACTAAAGAACACATCACGCTGAGAAATGGAGACAGATATGAGAAGAATGAACAACAATTGGACAGAACTAGAAATGAAGGCCCAGGACAGAGTAGATTGGAGAATGCTAGTTGGCGGTCTATGCTCCATTAGGGTTAACAGGCGTTAGTAAGTATGTAACATATTATCATTTTATGATAATATTTTCCCACCTTGATGAATATATCCATGATCTTGTACAAACGATTTTGAGCTATATCACTCATAGTATTCAGCTGCTAACTACGATTATCTCGCCGTTCACATCCAGATAATCTATATCTATCTACATGACTCTATTGTCTAATGAACTGAAATAGATCAAACGAATTTTTTTAACCTTAAAAACAACTGACACATTTCGGTTGTAAAGGTATTTATAAATTACATCTTAGTGAATAGGAGTAGGATTAGTTTCTAAGGAAACTATGGGTGAGCAAACCAAGACGTGATGCCAGTGCATAAAGTTTGTTGATAAATTTATTAAGTCACATAAATAGCAGGTGTAGAACCTGCGTAAATATAGTAATCTGTGGTTGGAGATTTTTGGTGAGGTGTCTCAGAGTCGTTTGCAATAACCGAGGTCCATTTACTGATTGACTTTTAAAATGCGAAATCTCCATCCAGGTGTTTATTTCTCTCTTTTTTATATCTAATCTTTACTACTAATACTGTGAGTACCTCTACTACTCTAGAATCTATCTTTATAATTCCATCTTGGTTTACTAGTGTGGTGTATCGTTTCGAACCGATGTACATATATGTCAGGTTCTACGTTGCACTAATAATTACTATAGATTTAAGTGGATAATATCTTCAGAACAATGAGCATAGCGGATTGTTATATCAAGTGATTTTCATCTATTTATAACCAATAAATAATGACAGTAATAATTAAGCAAAGATGGATAGTGGCTAACAATGGAATCCAGGGACTCAGAACAACTATCCACCAATATCGAAGTCAGAATGTGATGATGTTTGAAGCGAACAGTACTGGGTTCGAGTCCTGGAGTGAACATCAACTGTGATGCACGTACATCCAGCTGACTAGTTATAAGTAGGACAAAACGCACGTCCTGGATTCCACTGTTGGCCACTATCCACTATTGCTTATAATGCTTGTGACTTAAGGCTATATCGAGGCGGTCCGCACAGGATGCATATATGCCAACAAGTGACTGATCACTTCAGCAGTCCTAAATAACAATAGGAAGATACAAGTAAAACAACACCAAGTGAATTTGGACAGTATTAATTATATAACACTAGTTTAATTACTTTACAATGATAAAATGTTCTGATGTTTAAATATTTTCATGATTTCAATCACTTACTAATGTTGACTAGATCAACTTTGAAAACCTGGAAACTCTGGACAGTTGTTTTGTCCCTAGTACATAGACTTCTCAGTGGTGCGTATTCACTACTCTGCCATAGAGGCTCAAACTTAAAGCCTTTGTTCAGCCTCAAGACCATTGAGCAATTGTCCACTAGTGTACGTGTCTAACTTCAATCATTCTGAGTTATTGTGCGACCCTCATTCATTGTGTTCGGTGGATTAAACTCCACTATCCAAAGACTAAATACTTATTTTATTAATGTAAAAATTCTCATAACAAAATTTAAAAACACAAAAGCTCCTAGAAAATGAAAATGAATGTCGAAGATGGGAACTTCCACGTACCTTAACAGCATCATCGATGAACAAGAAGGATCCGATTCAGACGTAATGGTGAGGACAGTATTACTACACTTGAAGAACATATGGAACTCAAAACAACTATTAACCAATATCAACGTAAGAATCTTTAATACGAACATCAAGACAGTTCTACTGTACGGAGCTGAAACGTGGAGAACTACTACAACCATAATCAAAAAGTACAATTATTTATAAACTGTTGTCTACACAAGATACTCGGCGTCTGTTAGTCGGATAATATCAGCAACAGCCTACTATGAGAGAGGACAAACCAACTTCCATTTGAACAGGAAATTATGAAAATATGTTATAAATGGATAGGACATATATTGAAGAAATCATCAAACTGTATCATGTGAAGCAAACTCCAACTTGGAATCTTAAATTGAGAAGGAAAAATAAAAGACCAAGGAACATACTGCGTCCGAAATCGGTAGCAGACATAAAAAAGATGAATAGGAACTGGAGAGGATTTTTTTCCATAACAGTGTTGAATAGAGAATGTTAGTAGATGGCCTATATTCCACTACGAGAGGTAACAGGCGTAAGTAAGTACATTTGTTATTATTAATTCGAAGAAAGGTAGGGCGAAAAAGAGAGGTTAACAAGTTCTTTTTTTTTTTTCTTTCCAATCATATAGACATTGTTGTTCATCCACCGAAATTGGATAGTCGTAATGCATTAAGTGGATGGTTATGTATGCAACATAATTTAGTAAATAAAAAAATTGGTAAACCGTTATTTGATTGTACTCATGTATTGGAAAGATGGAGATATGGTTGGAAAGATAATGATGATTGTAGATTACCAGAACAAGATTAGTAACATTTTCAATGACTTGTCTTTTAATAAATATACATATTGTGTGTGTGTGTGTGAATATGTGTGTTTAGTGATTATTCAGATTTCCTTTCAATTTATATTCTCTTGTTTCTATGTTTGTTCAGTAGTAATTTGCTTTGTTATTACTAAGACATAATTATGAGTAGTATAATAGTGTACACTAAAAATTCAATCATTATAAAAATATATGCATTGGACAGTTTGAGTTGATATTTCAATGATGTTTGTTTTGTTTTGTTTTATATCAAAATTAGAAAAATACACCCGGTATTTGCCCATTTGTAGTGTAGCCAGGGATATCTGTCTTCGATTTATTCAACACATAGATATTGGTACAAGGAGGCACCAAATACATATGCGCCACATAGATCTCATTTGATATGTGTTAGGGCTGTGATACTACCCGGGTGCCCAAACCGAAGCAGGTGGTTTTCTTAGGGGGCCACACCCGGAGTCTTCGACCTGAAGGTCTGACCCACAAGGCAGTGGAGCATCATAAGGAGATACAGTCCCATGGTAGCCGGTGACCAATGATTGGTTCATACGCCATTTGTTCCTTCAGGATACTGGAGTTAGCCCATGTGCACCATTGGTTTGGAATTGTGGTTTCCCAACTCTCCTAGGTGGACTCTCCATATCCACCAAGCCGGTCAAAGCACCGGACATTTGCATTTCGTCCTCTGAATTTCGTAAACAACACCCCCGCAACGAGAAGGCAGTGAGTAGGACTTCCGTGGCAGAGGCTGTATACGTGTGGCTATGTGTGAGCATTTCGAGAGGAAGAGCGGACTCTCCCCACTCTCAGCCATACCAAGGCATAGTTAACTCACTTCTACGTGACGAATGTAAAACATGATCATTTAGATTAAAGGATATTTGAAGGTAACTAGTATTTGATCATTAGTGTCTTCAAAGTATCACTTGTTTATTTTAAGATCGTTGAGTAGACATTCCTGAGGTTAAAATTGTATTGGTTAGTTCTCTTTCATTTGATTCCAATAGATGATATGCTGTTAGCTTAGTATATTAGCGGTCCAATTCTCCTAGTATTACTATGAATTTACTTGAGCATATTTAAAAGCCAAAGCACCAGCTGCTGTTAGAGACTGTTATCAATGATTAATAAAATTCAAAAGTATGAGAAAGGCAAACAGTGAGTGAGTGTATATGTGAGTTAAAAGTCGAAATATGCTGTATACTACTAATGTCTATTGAAATAAGTAGTATGTAATACGAAACAAAAGTTAAATGGCTGGCAGTAGAAGGTTAAGAAGATCAAATATAAGAAAACAGAAAGGAATTGTGAATTGGATGATATTGTGTAATTTTGCATGAAATAATAAATTGGTTGTCCGCATCGGAATTTTCGTTCATGACAAAAATATCAATGGAAATTTTATAAGTGTTAATCAATTGTAAGTTATTGGTTGTCTTTCATCTACAACCGATGGGCGACCAGATAAAGATTGAGATACAGAGATGCGTCCAATCAGACCTACACTTTCTTTTACATAGTGGGTTAATTGTCTAAATTACAGCTTGTAATAAAAAATTCAATAGACTTACTATGGGGGTAGGGTATTGAGTAATGATGTAAAATCAGTTGATAAGGTAGTAACTCTTCTCCTGAGATGGTTGGGACAATCAGTCAGTAACAACGTAGAACTTCATACGTACGTATATCAGATCGAGTTGTCATACCACACTAGCACAGTGATTCATTTGTCGATTCAAATCTCGAAGTACTAGAGGTAGTAAGAGTGTAGTGAACGAGAACAACAATGGGGAAAATCGAATGTATTTGACAACAAATTACAGAACTAGTTAGTAAAATCTAACAACCATATAGTAAATGTTCAATTTGCAAAATCTCCATCAATTGTCTCAAATGACTGAGACTTCCTTTGTAAATGCATTTTCATACAAATTGCGTTGTCTTCATTCTTTACTGTTCGATCTTCTTGTCTCTTTGCTGCCAGACATTCTGTTCACGATTCACGTCATATACTGCTTATGTCCACATAAGTAGCACACACCACAAGAGTATAAGCAGTAATCGGAAACATTAGGGTTTGAAGATGTTATTCAAGGAGTGAAATCAATTTGGAAAGAGAAAAAAAGTAAGGGACATGAATAATTTGGGAGAACACAAAGAGTGGATGCACTTGCGCCATTGGGACATGTATTAAATATTTCTGAAACCCGCTTAAGTTCATTGATGATGTCTGGTTTAAGAGTAGATTAGAGATAGCAAAATTAAGATTTAGCTCTAGGTCCATGAGGTCATTGACACTTGGACTGAACTATTTAGGTAGACACGGATTACTTTGTTAAGGTATCCGACGTAATATGTTCTAACAGTACATTAAAGTGAACAATTTTGTTTTGCCAGACTTTACTCCCATAAACAGTAATATGAAACTAATCTTGGTAATTTGTGAGTCAATAACTATTATATAACTAGTCGTATTATGGTATGTGTACTTGTAGAGATAGGATCAATACTTCAATTTGATAAGTGGATTCCAGAATATGCGTAAAATACACTTTAAAATAATAATCCTTAGTTGTGTTTAAATAAACAGTACAAATACATAATGGAAAAATGGTTCGAACGTAGTGAAGTTTTTCATACCAGGACGCGCGTTCTATTTGGTACTGGTCAACTAGATGTGCCTTCATTTCACAATTGATGATCACTCCGGGACTCGAACCCAGTACTGTTTTCAGGTAGCTATTAGGACTCAGTAGTTAAGTGGATAACACAATGGTGTTTGAAGTAAAAAGAACTAGGTTCGAGTCTCGGAGTGAACATCAACTGTGAGATGTGGGTACATCCAGCTGATAAGTCCCAAATAGGGCGAAACGCGCGTCTTCGATTCCATTGCTAACCGCTATCCATCTTTGCTTAGAGTTGGATGATGACGCATGATTAAGATGAAATACGTCTCCTGGATACTAACAGTAAAAACTGTACAAATAGAATGTTACATAGATAAGATCGAAATAATCAGTAAAATGTTTAGAATCAAAACAAAAATGAATAGAATACAGAACTAAAGTATTGAGTGTAACAACTTGACATTTAATGTAACAAACAGTTATCATCAACGAAATCCTTGGTACAGATTCATGTTAGTCTTGGTTACTATACTAAGTTAACAAGACAAAATGAAATCAACTAAAAAGATTACAATAATGTAGTAGTGATAAATAGGAAGTTAGACATTAACACCGTTGGATGCCGGCTCAGTGGTCTAGGTGGTTAAGCGCCTGGCGCGAGACTGATAGGTCCTGGGTTCGGATCTCGCGAGGAGCGGGATCGTGGATGCGCACTGCTGAGGAGTCCCATACTAGAACGAAATGGCCGTCCAGTGCTCCCAGGTTTTCCAAGGTGGTCTAGCTTCAATGGATTCATGATTTCAACCAGTGAAATAGGAAAGACTAAATTATAGGAATATGATTTGAAAAAAACACTGGAAAGGTATGTGTAAAGGGATTCTACGATGCAACATCTAGAAGAAAGTAACGAGTGTATGCATCTGAGCCACTTTGAATGATTCATAACCATGTCTACGAAACTCTGACAACTAAATGTGATTATCCCGCGAATTCTAATTAAATTTAAAACAAAAAGTTATTGAATATTGTAAGGCAAACATGGTATATTAAACAAGTATTATTATTATTTATTGGAACACATAAATATGGGTACACAGGAACACCATTCATATGCGCCACACTAGACGATTGATTTTTATGTGGACTATGATACTGCCCGGGTGCCCAAACGGAAGCAGATGGTTTCTTTGGTGATTACATTCGGAGCCCTTGACCTAAAAATCTGATCCACAAGGCAGTGAAGCAACGCCAGTCAGTCAGCTGCAACGTAGGACCAGGCACGTATATGCATCGGTCCAAGTTGCCATACCGCATTAGCACAACAAGATGAACACCGGATTCATAGAAGTAGTTAATTCAGTGGTGGTAATATATAGAAGAAAGATTGTGTATAAGGAGATAGTACAGGAAGATAGAATTAGTTCCTAGAAAGAAAGATTTGAAGTGATTTTAATCTCTTAATTTAAGGAAGACAGAGAGTGTATACACCGACGCCATTCTGATCGATTCTGAGCCATGTCACCAAGAGTCTCCAACCATTGGTTACGATAGTCACGCGGACCCCAACCAGGCAGTCTGAATCTTCCAACATGGCTCAGACCAGAAGTTAGTGACTTCAAGCACTGATGCCACGTTTTGGTTTGGCCGCCCCTAACTTTCTTCCAGTCATCCCTAACATCGGTTACCATTGCGCGTCGCGGTAATCGGTGTTCAGGCATATGCAGCACGTGGCCCAACCATCTCAGTCGATGAAGGTTCATAACCTCATCAACTGATTTACCATCATTTTCTAATACCCTGCGTCTAACCTCACTATTACTTACCCGGTGATCCCAGCAGATACCCGCAATATTTCTAAGGCACCTGTGGTCAAATACTAGTAACTTACGAATATCTTCTACTCTTAAAGGTCATGTTTCGCAGCCGTATAGTAGAACGGAACGAACTGCCGCGCTGTATACTCGTCCTTTTATTGATAGACGAATATCTCGCCTTCGCCATAGATGACGTAAGTTTGCAAAGGCCAAGCGAGCTTTTCGAATCCGTGCTGAGATTTCGTCAGACACCAACCCATTAGGACTGATCAGACTTCCAAGATAAGTGAAGTTGTCAACGCGTTCGACTACTTTACTCCCTATCCTTAGTTCAGGTGTTCACACAGGCCATTGCTGAAGCAACAACTTGCATTTAGAGGGAGAGAAGCGCATCACAAACATTCTAGCATTGTTGCTCAGTGCTACCAAAAGACTCTGCATTTCATCAGCGTCTTCACCAAACAGGACTATGTCATCTGCGTATTCTAAGTCAATAAGTGGACCTCCTGGTAGGAGATCAATACCCGAGAATTCAGTCGATGAGAGCGTTATTTCCATCAGTAGATCTATGATGAAGTTGAACAAAAATTGAGAAAGTGGACAGCCTTGGCTGACGCCACTTGAGGTTGCAAAAGCAGATGACAGTTCGGCATAGGCTCTGACTCGACTAGTAGTGTTCGAGTAAAGAGCCTTCACAAGGTTTATGTACTTCTGAGGTTCGCCTTTCAATGACAGACACTGCCACAGAACCTCTCGGTCTACAGAGTCAAACGCTGCTTTTA